AATCTCACATATTCCCTAAGGGGTTCAGATTTGGTTTCTATCCATTAAAGAACATCCTACAGAATATTCAAGTGCCTACTGGGTGTAATAGATTTATCTTAGAATTCTTCAGTTTTATCATTAAAACCTTGGTAGTAGAATGGAGGAAAAACTAAACAGTAACAAAGAAATGCCTTATTTACTTGGGGCAATAGAATGGGTTTGATATCAGTGAATCTTTCAGCCCTGAATTATGTTATGTATTCAAATATGAAACTTGTAACACTTTTTAAAGTCTTTTGTGACCATATTTGAAATTGCCTCCACACAATCTATTAAAGAATACAATTGTCATAAGGAAATGATGCGCCCCCACCTTTGTAAATAACACAGTAACCTTGGCAGCTACGAGATTATTGCAGGGTATTAGCCCCTCCATGAAATGGCTCTAGAGAACCATGCTTTGTGAATTCTGAAGACTACCTCTTGGGTTTTATCTTTTCTTCTTGCAACTAAAATGTCACATCCTCTGGCCAGCCGTATTTAAATCTCTGAGGTAGATTTTGCCATTTCCTGTGTTTCCTCTGACTTGGTTCATACATCAATCCCAGGACTGAGCTTACTGCCTTATACTCTGAGGTTCTCTTCTGTCTTATTCTCCTTAACTATAAATTATTTGGGTACTCATTTATCTCTCCATCCTAAGTATTTATTTAGCACATGCCTTGACTCCTAATACACGTCAAAAAGTACTTGGTAAGCAGCAGCTGCTCTGACATTGAATGGAAAATCTGGTTACCACCCTGCTTGTCACTTTGTGTGGCGTAAGAGCACATCATCACAGCAGCTGATGACGAATTCTCTTTTAAAGACCTTTGGCTTCTTGCCCTGTTGTGGTTCCTTCAAAGCTTTTGGTTATAGTTAGAGAAACAGGGTTGGCTCTCCATCTAGGGTCTATATAACCTTCTCTTTCTTTACGTTTGCCCAGCATAGCTCTGGGAATAGGATTTCACAATCTATTCCCTGTTCCTCTAGGATCAGCATCCTACGAGGAATCTTCATGGTTGAAAAGAATCTTAAGAACCAGGTGGGCATTCAAAAGCAGCCTCTGTTTTTACAGAAAGTACATATGCAGAACTGAATGGCCCATTTCCTGTCGCAGATCATGCGCTGCCTGAGATCAGGGAGTTTTCCATATGTCTTTTTATGGATTCCAGGAAGAAAAATAGTAAATAAGAGAACACTTAAAATATTCACATTTTAAAATCATAAATTTATTAAAACCCAGTTTCTGTTCAAAACGAGTCCCCCCCCCCCCCCTTCCCCACCAAGGTACAGGCCTAGAGGCTGGTATATATTTGAGTATAGTGACTCTAGTGTGACATATCCTTATTTCAAAATAGCCCTGCCGAACAGTCAGCACACACTGTCCCAGATGAGTGCTGGGCGCAGACCTCGCAAACACCCTATTTGTCTGAAGAGAAACAACCGTCCTTTGTGATTTTCAGCTCAACCTTGGATTATTTACAAACATTTTAAGCAAACACTGCAGACATGGTAAGTACAGTAACTCTGAAAAAAACAGCCATAAACCAAAACTCCAGCAGAAAGAAGCTGTGAGTCTATCCCCTGAGAGCTGAGCTCTTTTAGGGAGAAATGCCAGAGGCTTAAAATTTGCTTCTCATTAACAAACAAGCAAACAGCAGCAGCAGCAGCAGCAGTAACAACAACAACAGGACAAAAAAAAAAAAAAAAAAAACCAAACAAAAATAACCAAAAAAACCAAACCCTCCAGCAGCCAAGACAGGGGTTTGAGGAAACAAAAGTTATTCCAACAGAGATTTCTGAAATGGATGCTAGCTTCTCATGTTTGATTGATTGGGGTAAGTGAGGGGCATATTAAATATTTAAGTTTTGCCTGTTTATTTTATAAGACAGTCTATGTATAAATAAGCTGTGGTCTGTTAATTCAATTTGTTTTTCATTAATAAGTAAGACAAAGAAAATTAAACTTATTAAAACATTAAAAACATTCCAATTTAACTGCATTGGGGGCTTTAAAGATCCATTAACTCACATCTCAACACATGACTTTTCTGTTAATCTTCTTGTATATTTTTTAATCTATAAGACATTAAGGTGATTGCATAAAGTAAGCTTTTCTAGGACTTCAATGTTAACTTCTTAGTTTTTATCAACTTATCATAGATGTGTAAGGTATTAACAGAGAATACCAGTTGAAAGGTGCATGGGAATATCTTTATGAATTTTGGAACTCTTCTTTTTAAAAAATTTTTTTTCAAAAAAATTTATCCACTTATTTTTAGAGAATGGGGAAGGGAGGGAAAAAGAGTGGGAAAGAAATATTGATGTGTGGTTGCTTCTCGCCTGCCTCCTACTGGGGACCTGGCCTGCAACCCAGGCCTGTGCCCTGACTGGGAATGGAACCGAGGACCCTTTGGTTTGCAGGCCAGCGCTCAATCCACTAAGATACACCAGCCAGGGCTGGAACTCCTCCTTAAGTCTAAATTTATTTAAAAATAAAAAGTAAAACAATATAAAGGAATTAGCTGTTTGGAGCAAGAAATGACCTGGCTGTTTACAGATGGCAGGGCTCTAGGTTAGTTCAAGGCCACGTGGTGGGTTTGCAGTAGGTCCTGACTCACAGCCCAGCGCTCCTTCCCCTCCATCCAGCTGCCACTGAGGAGCACCCGCTTCCACTTCCCCTGGACAGTTCCCTCAGTGCTACCTGGTGGCACAAGTCCAGGGACCTCCCGTAGGCGACTCTACTTCCCTCAGACCAGAAGACACACCAACATGAATGAGCTGGGTCAGTAACACTGATCCAACTGTCAAGCCAGAGGCCATGAGACTCAGTCACCAAGTTCATTACCTATTTACTCAATAGCCAAGGTCAATTCCAATCAATCACAGAGAGCACAATGTGGCACCATGACATGGCAAATGTGAAACATTCACAGATGCACTAATCTAGACCAATCAATCAACTGCATTTCATTATCCTTTTATTGGTCAGAGATTCTCCCACAACATGCCACTGAGAAAAAATTCCAGAAGAATGAAGGGGCTAAATGATCACATTCTAGTCTACTGACTCAGTTCAGGTTATGGAGCATCGCCACGATTAGAACAGGTGCAAACAAGAGGCCCATTTTAAAATTACCTATTAAAATCTTTAGATGCTTCCTATCAGAAAATTTTATTTCCATATAATTTTAGAATAAGCAATGAAAATGTAGCAATTACCGCAAGTCCCTATTTTGTTGCATGGACTTAGGAGCCTCACTCGTAGCTGTGGATGTTTAACTGAAGGTCCGTCCGGGGTTTCCCACAGGCTGTGTGCAGGGGGCTGGCAGTGTGTCCACAGCACCACGCGAGCGAGTGCCCTGCCCTGCGTTCGGAGGAAGGATCTCTGAAGGGGGCTCTTTCTCAGAGAGTTGCTTTGTGTTTCATGCGGGCTAGGTTTTTATTTAACAACAGAAAATTATTTTTTCTGTTCAAGTCACGTTAGCCAGCACTCATTGCTCTTATATTTCTCAAGCATTCCAGGTCACGGAGAACTCGTTACCGACTGCCTCCGCCACCCCCGCCAAAACAGTAAAAATAAATAAGGAGCCTGTCTTATATTTAGAGTTCAGCTTCTTTTAGTCAGCACTCATCTTTGGGCTGATCAGCACTAACTACTGACTAGTTCTTTTGTAAAAAATAAAATAATAACTTCGCTCCTGAGGAGGACTCTGAAAAGCGAGGGAGGCAGGCCACCGTGACTTGCCTGGAAAGAACTCTGACACCAGAGACACGAGGAGCCACTGAGCTCTCTGAGACGGAGTTCTCAGGGGCCTGAAACCCAGGTTTCCCTGGGTGCGTCTGCTTAGAAGATCCCAGTTTTAGTACCTGATAGGAAACATCACACCCTGCTGACAGATACTCAGGTAACTTCTGTGCATCTGGAAGCACTGATGAAAACAGTTATTTCAGTAAAATGTACAACTTTGCAGGGTGGTGTATAATCTAAAAAATACAGCCCACTGCATACGGGATTTTGCTAAGAAAAGGTTCTCATTCCCCACCAAGTCGTTTCTTCCTTTGGCCCAGTTTATTTCTCTACACTCACAAGGATTGGCAGGCTCTGCGAGAACGCGCTGAGCTGTGTAATGAGAGGAGAATGCCTTTTCCCCTTATGGTTTGTGCAGTACAAATACATTTGCTCATGGTTAGGTCTTTACAAAACAGTGATTCCCTGCTAGCTCTGATGACCTGCGATGGGTCCTAGCTAAAAGAACTAGGAGACATGAGGAAAGCCAGCATTCACTGAATTCTTCATGGCTACAAGGGTACAGTAAAAATTAAAAGCATGTTTGCATCATCATACCATTAGTTATATGTTTCTTTTTGGGGGCTGGAGACAGTCCTTTGGTGGCAAGGACGGTTTTTAGGCCATATCTCCATCTCTGTTTAACTGTCTGTCTGCATGTCTATTTTCCTTTTTTATTTTCCACAGTTGGTGGTGGTAAGCACAAAGCATCTCAGAGTGCTTTTCTGCTAAAGGCAGCACACGTACGGGTACCTGAAGATCACCAGTACAAGGATACTCACCGAGGTAGTTCTAATACCGTAACCATCCCAGGGAATGGGGGACTTGTTACACAGGAAAAAAATCTATATTGTATTTAGAGTTCAGCTCCTTTTAGACACCACTTTTCTTTGCGCTGATCAGCTCCTAATTGGACTCGTTCTCTAACTGGATGGGTTTTTGATACCACAAAATACAGCAAGAAACAAACAATGCAATAACATAAATCCTAGATCTTACAATTCCAAGGCGGACAACCTCTTCCTCCAAACCCTCAATTTTAAGTCCTCAGAGAAAATGTTCCCTTGGTTGCACCTTACCTTCATGTCCTTTCTAAACAGTTCATTACATGGATTCAAAATGCATCATCAGCCAGTTGCACAGAAAAAACAAATAGCCATTAATCAATGCAAAGTCAAAGGCTTACCTTAGTTCCTTGAAGGGGTCTGCCCTGACGTTAGGGGTCTCTATAGACTTAGGGAACACTGTGCCCTCTGCTCCTGTAAACAAAAGTAAAAAGCAGACAAGAGGTTGGAGACTGACGGGCATGCCACCTGGGGGAACAATCAGCTAAATGCAGTGAATCCTTTACCAACCCAATATACACATATTTTGCCCCTGGCTTCAGGACTCCCTAATAGGAACACATTGAATCAACTCATGCAAACAGCCTTTGAAAATAGAAGGAATTTCTTCTGAAAGTGTTCCTGCTGAGATCAGGGTGGGGCCAGAGGGCAAATTCTATATTGGCTTAAAACAACAACAACAACAACAAAAGAATGCCTAGAATTGACTCTGACTCTGACCTCTCATGAACTCTAAAAGTCACCAAACTGGAAATGTTCGAAAAAACAGCAGCTGAAGGCCTCTTATTGCACTCACAGCGCAGATCAGAAGACACACAACATTTAAGCAGAGGTAGAAATTGGAGATGGTAGAAAACACTGTTAAGGCTGTAAGATATTTGCCTGACGACAGTGAAGCAGAAGTAAAGAAAGTTGTACATTATTTCCCTGAAACGTTACACACAACACTATGCGAGATCATTTGAAGTTCAGCGCTTTTACACTTTGATTATTAACATTGATCCTCAACCCAGTCTAGACATTTAGCAGTTGACTTTGCTATGAGCTTTTATCTTCACAGCTTGTCAACACCAGCTAAACCTTCCTAGCCATAAAGATTGTGATTATTTGATTTGTCTGCTCCCAAAGTGTTTTCAAATCATTTAAGCCTCAGTTTATCACAGACCATTGCACTGGATATTAGTTTTTCATTTAAACTTAGCTAGGCAATAATATCCTGTATACTTTGATGTAAAGGTGTTTATTTTTATACATTTGGTATAGTTCTTTAATGCTGTAAGAGGGGGCAGAATAATATCTTGCATTCATGGGTGAATTTCTAGAATCCTCTTGCATTGTTTTAATGTCTAAAAATCTCCTCCATTAACCACTGTTATTCCAAATCCAGATTTATCCTGACATACTGACGAGTCTAGGACGATGAATTGGTTTCTTTATTTTTGTAGCTTCTACAGAAGTATGTAATCTTTATGATATGAGTAGAAGATTATTGCAAGTAAAATAAAAAAATGCCTTGACTTAACATTATATATTATCATTAAAATAATATCCTGGTGAACAATAACTATTATTCTAAGCGAATATTTTGTGTGACTACCACATGCTAGACAGCATAATGTATATTTCACCCACAATAGCTCATTTTATATCCTTCAATATCCAATAATACTTTCAGCTGCAGGAGGCAGAGAGACATTTAGTGTGAGGACATCTGAGACCTTTCTCTGCCTGCAGACACTTTTCAAGATCCCAAACCACATCATTTCAAACATAATAGAATGTACCCATAGCCCCATTAAAATACAACATTTTTTGATGTAAATTTCTTACTGACGTTCATTGTTTTATTATGCATATGTTGTTTATTTTGCTCGTGTGGTTTAAACTTTATTGTATTCTTTATGGCTGCGATGGTTTGTCTTATAGGTCTACTGGACTGGATCACAGGGTGCCCAGATTTCTGGCTGACCATTATTTCTGGTTTGCGGATGGGATTAGCATCTGAACTGCTGGACCCGAAAGCAGTTTGCCCTCCAATGTGAGAGGCACCGTCCTGCTGAGTGGACTGAATAGAACAAAAAAGTGGAGGAAGGAAGAGTTTTGCCCTTCCTGCCTGACTGCTTGAGCTGGGACGTCTGTCTTCTGCTCTCACTGCTCCTAGGTCTCAGGCGTCACACCTGGGCTGGTCTCTACAACACCAGCTCCCCCGGTACTCGGGCGTTTGGACTCAGACTTCACTATGCTACCAGCCTTTCTAGGTCTCCAATTACAGGCAGCAGATTATGGGGCTTCTCAACCTCGGTAATTGCGTGAGCCAGTTTCTCATAATAAATCTCTTCCTATGTATAGGTCTTATTGGCTCAGTTTCTCTGGAGAACCCTAATACAACTGCTGTGTAAGAATGGGCTGGGTTATAGATGACAGTGTAGCTTTTGTTACATGGGTATGGAATTTGGGTGTGCAGAGTATGCATTCCCCACTGCCTACATCTTTGAGATCCTTTGAACCACACTGAGGCCAAAGGCATTGTAGAGGCTGCCCAGTGGATGAGAGAGGCCTGCAGAAGTCACAGGACAGTGAGTGACACATTGGGATGTGGCTCTAGGCTGTCTGACACCCAAGAGCATGCCCTTAGCCACCCCTCAGTACCAACTCCAATCTGTTATCGAACAACTCCATCTGTTACTACTGCAGTTAACAGGGATGACTTCCCTTTGACATCCTTACAGATATTTTGTTCTTAAGTCATTTGAACCCTATTTAAAAGCAATATAATTAAAAGGAGCAATTATATATCTCAGGGAAGGACACGTTATTTCTTTGTTTATATTGTCTATACTCTTCAGTCCCAATTCAAATCTCCCCTCCCTCTACCAAGAAGCCTATGAAAACGTCACTATAGAGAGCATTACCGCTTTTCAGATCAGCCGTGACGGTCTGTCTGACCAGTATGGCAATTAGTCCCGCCCAGCGACAGCCTTTGTCATTTGAACTCTTACTAGAATGCTGTCAAGCTTAATGTTTCTCCTGTCTCATGTCCACTCCTATCATCCTTTCACAAGGCCTTTGTCACTGAGGAATACTTATTTTGCAACTTTTGACTATGCCAAGTATATGCATGCCGTAGAACACATACTACATTTATTCTGACCAATTATCTAAAAATGAGGGATGACATATTTTTATGTGAAGTGAATCTCAAAAGCCTGGGGCGTTTTCTTTATCCCATCCAGAATTTGTGCTGAGCCTGTTACTTCCTTTGTCAGATCCAATGACAAACCCTCATCTGCGACCTTCCTTCTTACCGTGGGCCACACCAAGCTCCCTAAGGAGGGACTTGACTGCGGCTGGAGGCCCCTGGCTCAGCCACCCTTCTAAAGCAATTCCAAGAGGAGAAAAAGGTCACAATAAAGCAACCCGGCACACTGCAGGTGCTCACTCTGCGTCTGTGGAAAGAATATGCTCTTCTCTGAACACCTGGTCATGGGTCCTCAGCTTTCTGCGATCGCATTCGCTGTGCTCCTGGCTGGAACTGTGCCCTGTCCTCTGCCATATTCCCAATGTCTAGCACAGTGTAGGTGTTCAACAGATAATCTGTAAGATGACCACACAACTCATTTGGCACTGAGCACATGCTACCTGGGATTTTCATTTGCCTTGTAGACATTCGTTTAACCTCTTCAACTAGGTCTTAGGCTCTGTGCGGCCATGGACAAGGTCAATAGAGGATACGGTCACTTCAATTGTAGGTTCCCAAGGCTTCTACTGGACTCATTTCCAATTGTTACCGCTATTTCTATAAGAGTACTAAGTTATTGTTATAAATAAATAAACGTGTACATTTTAAATGTATGCCTAAAAATCACAACCTAACACATTTTAACTACCTTTAAAATAAAAGAGAAGGCTCATAAAAAAAAAATGCTACGTGGCTAAATATGTATAGCTCTAAAGTAGAATGACATCAAAAGGCTGTGGTCTCTTTCTTAGACCAAGGAAGCTGCTTATCTTATAATAGTGGACTGGGGCTAAAAACATGTGAGGCTCATGGTCACATGGCCAGTGAGTGCTAGAGTCGAGTGTCACATCTTACTAACGAACCCACTTTCAGCGTTAGCCACTGAGCCCCAGTGCCTTGCTTTCTCAATTCCTGGCCACTGTGGCACTTGCTAAATGGCAAACCAGCAAAAACCAGAGGGACAGGGCTCTGACAGGTAGAGGAGGTGGGTGACTGACAGACTGGACACGCAATGGAAACGAATGGCGAGAGGCTCATGCTGTCCTAGTGTCCGTCGTCCAACCAGGTGCCCTTTGATTTTGTTTCTGCTGCATTTTGGCCACAGGGGAACACGGGCCCCACGCATAGTGAAGGAGAGGCTCGCAGATGGCTCTCTCAGGGAAAGGTTATCAAAATCTCTCATTAGCCAAGTGACCTTGGGCATGAAACCCAATCTCTCTGATGCTCAGTTTCCTTCACTAAACAAGGGATATTGATAGTACCCCCCTCTCCAGGGGCCCTGAACAAGATCTCTGGCATGTAGCAATCAGCAGATGATAGGTAATAAAATACTACTACTACTGCCAAAATGTTTAGGAACGCTAATTATTCTATCTCTTTTCAGGTCCTCTATGACTCTTTAAGAAATAACACTTTTGGGGGAGTTAACGTAATCTTTTTAAAAAAAACATGTATTTTATTGATTATACTACTAGTTGTCCCATTTTTTCCCTCCCTTTTATTCCCCTCTACCCTGCACGGCTCAGGGAACAAGCAGCATACATAGTAGGTACAAAATAGGCAGGGGGAGGTTAAGGACAGTGTAGGAAATGGAGGAAGTGAAGAACTCAGGTGTATGTACAGCCCATGGACATGAACTAAGGGGGAGACTCCTGGGGGCTGCAGAAATAACATTTTTAAAGCACTATGAAGTAGAAACTATCAAAATTGCTTTTGTTTGATCATTGGAATAACTCTATGAGATAGAGACTATCAATATCTATTATTATGAATGTGGACTCTGAGACTCAGAGCAGCCAGGAGTTTTCCTATGGTCACACAGCAAAGAGGGGGAGCCAGGACTTGAACTCTATTTCAGCTCTGGAACAGATGCCCTTGACCACTATGCCACACTGTTTTGCAGCTGATTAAGTTACTCTCTACTTGCTCATCTTTTTATGAGATACGGACAAATACCAGAATGTTCATACTCTCAAGTAATACTTGCTAAGTCCCCCATTACCCCTCTTCTAAAAACAATTCCCAGGTACAATGAGATAAGTTAATAACACTTTTCAAAAAGACCATTTCTTTCCAAGTATTATCAGGTTTCTGATTTTTACACCATTTTTCACTTTCCCAGAAACTGCAGGGTGAACAACCATCCATCAGAATGAATTCCCCCATCCCATCCTCT